TTTTTTTTTAGATACTTTATATTATAATCCTTGTTTTCTATTATAGTTTTGTGCCTTACAAATACTTGTATTGTATTGTTGTATTGTATTGTATTGTTTATTTACCATCCAATAGAAAAAAATTGAAGATTCTTATTTCGTATGTAAAATATGCAGGATTTAGTTCAGTACGAGCTATTAGATTCAAAATTCATATTCGGACGCCGATTATAGTCGGCACTCGTACACACAGCTCGTCGCGCGGCCGCCGACTATAGTCGGTGTCCTTAGCGAAAGGGTTAATAAATTACATTCTCTCTCCCTGGGGCTGTTTAATCGTAAGCGAAGAGCACTGTTTGTCTACGATGTTGCAACCAGTCGTAACGTAATCTAACGTAAACAGTTTTGCTTTTAACTGTGTACCAACGCATCCAAAAGTGTTTTGCACCCTGGGGGTGTTATCGTAAGTGCAAACCGCAGATATGAATTTGCCTATTTCGTCTCGCCGAGTGAATCCCGTACGAGAATCGCGAACGTCGCATCTGTGAAAGCGGTCTCGAGGCAGTAATGACGAAAATTACGATCGGTTTCCGTAGAGGACAGTGAGAGAGAAAAGCGGTGGTCCGCCTTGTTGTAATTTCAGGCAAGCCTTAGCCTGCCGGGGTCACCGTTCAATCTCCGTCGAAGCAGCCGCGGTAGCCACCAATTTACGATCAGAAACGGCCGCGGACGTTTCGTACCGCCAGGCGGTGACCGGAAACCGTTGGTACTGTCGACGTTCCTCGACGCCCAGGAACACCTGCCGTACGCGGACGACTCGAACGCGGTCACGCCGATGTCCGAGGAGAACGGGACGATCGTCGTCGCGCCGTACTACACGAATCTGGGATCCAGGCACTCGTCGTACACGTCGCACGCTTCGCGGGTGTCGTACACGTCGCACGGCGATCTGATCGGCGGCATTGCGAACGCGAAGCCGATGACCAAGGAGAGCCAGCTGAGGATCCGATCGTCCAGGCCGCCGTCCGTGAACGGCCACTTCACGGATTCCAATCAAAAGTACCACTGCGTGAGTAAAACTTCGTTTCTCACACGATCTCATAGTGCTTCGGCAGAGAAAATTCATTTTTCATAACACGAGGCCGAAAACGACCATTTTCGGCGCCTATAAAGTGGACCGAAAATAGAGTTTTGTTGTTTATAATAGTAAATAAGTGTAAAAATAGTATAATAATAAAATAAAAATAAGTATAATTATAATTAATATTATTATAATTAAATTATAATATAATTATAATTAAAAAAATAAAAAATAAGTATAGTATAATAATAAAAAAAAAAATAAAAAAAANTTAATAACTGTTAAAATTTCATTGGTTTGTCATTTACTTTTATGTAAGAATTCATACAACCTTAAGACAATTATAGAAATTTGTTCGTATATTAATTAAAGAAAAAAGACAGGCTTCTAATATTTAAAATAATTAAAATATATAATTATTTTTAAGGGTTCATACAACCTTAAATATTTGCATGAAATTTTTAATCTATCTGACGCATCGAATTCATTGAATTTGTTCGCAGACGTGTTGGTACTGAACGACATAATAGAACAGGCCGGACGACAGACCAGAACTCCGGAGCAAGGAGGTAATGTCGAATGTTCAACCCCCGACCGCCCCCAGCCTCCCCTCGCTCATGTTACTATCTCTATTCTTACAGTTTTACTATCACTCTTTATCACAGACGTATATCTCTTGTGTGATGAGCATCCTGTCATTATTTTCAATGTACACCGTTGCGTTGTTGAGAGCTCTTGTACAGTTATTTCCACATTGATGCTGAAAATTTTTGTCTGAGCGCCTTGTATGTACATAGTAGAGATGCGAAGGAAACTCCTATTTACGTACATGTATATGTATATATATCTATATATCCATATGTATATATATATACACACACATATCGATCTGTCTACCTTTTTTCTATTATTTAATTTATCAATGACGATCCGAATCGTCGAGAACGGTGAACAATTATTATTTCCACTTTGTTTATTGAGTTCCATCGATACCAATGTGTACTACAGTGCATGCCAAGGTTCCCATTCGTCCCAATCAGTTCTGTTTTTTATTATTATTCGAATCGAAGGAACGTAACGATTATTTAAAAAATTCAAGCTGTACGACGCTGACAATAAATCGTTTGGACGACAGCTTCGTTCTTCCATCTCACCATTATATAAAAAGAAAGCGTTTGGTCGTTAAGAAAAATCTGAAAAATGACTGAAACGTTTACTGTAAAATTCGGGCAATAAGTTTTTCAAGTACTGCTAGTAACAACGAAATTGAGCCAGCTATGTGCATGTGTCAGTTTCCCCTAGGGGGACAAAATTCAAAACGAGTAATAAGTATACATCTTATTTTTTCGATGCTTGATCTCGCATTGATATTGTTGGATTTTAACATAATTTTGACGCGTCAAAATAAAAATAATGTTAACGTACGCACATTACCACCACCTACATTAAAATTCTTTTTATTTTGACACGTCAAAATTATAATAAAATCCAACAGTACCGTTGCCAGAACAA